TGAGCGTGGAAGTTCGTTATAAACGGAAAGTGAATATACAACTAACCTAAAAAGTGATTGTTATATCCGGAAGTTCGTTATAACCAGTAAAAAAATACGTTGGTCTTTACGGACGACGTTTCAATTAAAGAAAAAACCGTTCCGAAAAAATCGTTTTAACCGAAAGTTCACTATAACCGGGTTCATTATAAGCGGACTTTACTGTATATTAGGCATTAATTAGAAACTGTTAACTGATCTGAATTAGGGGTAAGTAGGTAATCCGCCTATATACTGTGTAATATTTGCAGAACTTACTTGTCTCCAGGAACGTCCCAAACATTCAGTGAAGAAAGTTAATATTATGTGCCCTACATTGGAGAATAAAAATTAAATATTCATTTTACTGCATTATTCTAATCATCGTAATAATAAATACTATTCAACTGCAGCCAGGACAAACCAAGATTTAAAGAGGTTAGAATGGATTATGGCAGATGCCGCCAAAGAATACCTTTCCACAGAATACCGACAACATAGAAACGAATTGTTAGCTTTATTCAGTGAACTGTATACAAGGTACCAGGTACTTTAGTATACAGTTCATTGGCTTTATTTAACTACATTGTATTTAGCGTTTACATCCTCGTTAAATATTCTGTGTTACATAAATTACTTGAATCCGATAAAACAAGAAAGTTCAAAGTCTATAGATTGTATTTGATAACCCGGAAATGTATTTCAGGAAATTTAACTACATACTAGGTATTTGGGCGCCTTCGGGACGATGTACTGTCTAGGTCTGTAAAAGGACACTGATTTTGTGTAAAATCCATAAAATATGATAATCACAAGACGTTCCAGGCAAAGGGACATTGTAAAGGTACTCATTCTAACATAAATGTTTACCCGGGTTATGCTCAGATACAGAAAGTAGGAGTAAAAATATTCGTAATCATTAGCCATCTCTTCAGTTTGAATATTTCTTATCAAGTATTTCGGAGTCGTCCCGAAAAAGAAACGTTTATCTGCATATTGAACATTATCATTTCATTATAATTTAAACTACCGTTTGACAGAAAACATGTTTGTCAAAGTCTGCAGTCTTGCCGTCTTTATTTCCTTTTAACAGTTTATAGTAAATGGCCTTGTTTGAAAATTTTATTTTCAACAATGCTAAGCCCCAAAACGCATTTTTTGCGGGTATATATAAAACATCCAAGGTGATAATACGCGTAAATAATGAAGAAAATTTCTATGAAGCGATTAAATTTATCTGAGCGATGATGAGATGCAAAATGCAATTTTTCAGACAATCGCCGGCAACATTGCGTCAATTACTCGATGTAAACACATGCAGTGTCAGATTTTTGTAAATTTTTTAGAAATTATGCTTAAATTCTAAACTAGTAAATTGTTATTAAATAAACTGATTTCGGTGAAACGTCCACGGTGAGCCAAAGTGATGAAAAATTAAAATGAGAATGAGTGAAAATATGCAGCACAATCTATAATGTGTGCGAAGAAATAATTGGCTATGGAAATAGCCAAAAGAGCGAAAACTATGTTTAAGCAGTGAACTAAATAATTATAGACGATCTCATCTCATGTTCCAGTTACGCAAAAACTATGTGCGACACGCTCATATGACCCGATTGATATTGCTAATTTTTGCGTAGGCTAAAACGGGCCGGCCCCCCATGTGAAAAACAGTCCCCACTTCGTCAACGGACCAGGCCGGAGTCCTAGAGCGAGACTGGCCTGAATAATCCATCAGACAAAGATGCTACAACTGTATCATATGACTGTACCGCACGTGATTTTTATTTATTGTTTTCACTCTGGCAAGGTACGATGTGAAACTCGTGCTTTTTCAACTATGCATGAATGTGAATAGTGTAGGTTTCATGTTATGGCTCTTTTCAACAAACTTTTCAATGGACTTAGAAACACACCACGGAGTAGCCAGGACGAGAGTAACGTCAGGTTTGTACAACTCCTTTATTATTGTTTGCCCTATAAATAATAGTTTAGTTGATATTTTAAATAACTTCGTACAAACCACTGCTACCTTACGGTTCAGCTATCTGATGGTGATATTCATGAACATCTAAGGAAATTATTAACATCAGTGGTTGTGGTGTTTTGCAAAGTTTTAAACTTGTAGGTACTTAAGTACTTACTTATTAATTAAAGGAAATTTTAACACATCTTCGAGGTGAATTGATGATTATTGCTAATCATTATTGACATATTGCATCTGCAGGTAATTTTAATGTTTTCACAATACCAAGCATTTGCATCTAGATAAGACCCAATTTCAATTTGAACTTACCTTCATTCAACTGAGTCTCGAACATAAAGAACACATTAACACTTTTTCTTTCGGTATTGGAAGCTGAATATTCAGGGGGATTATCAGATCTATGGCATCAAGCTTGTAGAGATCGTTCACTGCAACAGTAGAAGACATTTAAGTTGCAGAGAAGAAAAATTTGATTTCTCGAGTTTTAATGCATTTTTTTTAAATTTGTACACAATAACGCGGGGATATTCGTGGCGTTTCGTACACCAGATCGTGTATGTTTTGCCCCAGAAAAAAATATTACTAATAAGGATTAAGTCGGGTGAACTAGGGGGCTACCTTTGCCGACCCAATGTTGAAGAAAACCGCTAGTACAAGAAAATTAGTATTTCAAAATGCGTTGATTTTGCAAATTAAATTAAAATATAAAAATATCTTAATTACTCAATAAATATAAGGCCATTTTTGGAACCTCAGGCTATTCCACAAAGAGATTTCTATTAGCTAACTTAATAGTAGCTAAGAATTTCTACTCGGCTTAATAATACTTCTCATGTTCGACATCTGTAGAACCATTCTTCAAACTCCCGGCCACAAATATCGTCAGAAGTACCAAATTACCAAATAATAGTGAAATAAGCTGAGATTTAGCGAGCAAAAATTCAAATTCAAGCGCATACATTTTCAGTTCATCAATTAATATCTATAGACTTTTAAGAAAACATATAGCCATGTTATTGGCAATTTCACTATAATTTTCTTGGTAAYTCTATAWTATAACTAGCTGACCCGGCAAACCTTGTATTGCCATATMAATTATTCCTAGGGTTTTTTTTTCATCTCGAGTGGGCGGTTTGCCCACTTGAGATTTTTTTTAAATTTTATTTTWAATTTATTGAATTACTAATATAGCTATTAAAAGATAGGGGTTTATGGCAGCACCCATATCACTTAGGGGTATGAAAAATAGATAACAACCTATTCTCAGACCTACTGGATATACATACAAAATTTCATCAAAATTGGTCAAGCCGTTTCGGAAGAGTATGGTAACTAAAACTGTGACACGAGAATTTTATATATATAGATAACATTGAAAGTAAGAACAAATTGATTGATTTTTTAAGTACATGCATTGAGTTTTATCTTTTCTTGCAATAGTCTTTTAATTTTATTCATTTTGATTCGCTTTTCATCAAACCGAAGAATGAGAATTTAGAATTTTTGTAAACTTGTGCGTTATTATTCAATCATCATCTAGCTGTTAGGGACAACATTATCTACGTGTTTACACCGGTTCTTTCTTTCTTTCTTATGAAAGATCAACTCTCTCTTGCATGGTGTCACTTGCGTTAGTTTTTTTACAACTTTCACTGTTTTTGGGACATCGTATGACTTTCTAAAGTTTGGAGAGGCTTCTCAGATTTTTGTGTGTGGATGAAAAGAACATTTAATTGCAATGGTTTTAAGTGCGTCTCCGAAAAGCCAACCAAGAGACAAGAGCAAAAAAATTAATCAAATGTGAAGTGATCTAGTTTTGTTTAAAAGTTTTGTAAAGTGATATACACAAGGATCCGAATTTAGTAAATCAAAAAGTAATTAGAGAAATGTGTAGACTTAGTCACGTTTCACCGTCAATATCAAGAATAGAATAAAGTGATAGTTGGACAAATTTGCTTGATTTTGAATGCTCCTAATTCTACGATACTTAATCGAACCTAAAATAGCTAGTAAATAAAATCTATAGCAAACTCAATTTAATCAAATTACTTAACTTAATCTAAGCCGGACGAACGCAAACGGACCAATACAACGTTTTGTACGTATACAAAAACATTGCATCTGTCAATATTTAACTCGTGTGAATTTAAATTCAAATCACTTAGAAAAAGCGGATGTGGACAAAGTGCATTAAGAGGCTAGGCAATATTAATATAATCAACTAGGCAATATTAATGCTTAAGTTGTGAAAAACTTCTGAATTTGCAGTTGAAAATTGAAATATGGAAGTAGTAAAATGTACCTGCAAAACCGATATTTAAAAAGTGCTAAATGCATTTAAAACGGTCAGTAAATCACTTAGTCGCTTGTACCTTTCACGTAACAATTTAGTTCTGTTCCAAAATAATGTGCAATGACGTCAGTGGCCTGATGCAGAGTAACGACAAAGCTTTAATCCTAAATAGAAATATTTACAGTTACTGATTTCCTCAAAGCAAACTGTTAAACAGTTTTTAAGATTATAATTTAGAAAAGTAATTTTAATGAGACATTTCAGAATATATTCAGGATAAATTAAAAGACGCACCGAACTGGAAACATGTTTTTGTCGTGACGACTTGAACTTATTCATATTCTTAATAATATGTTTACTATTAATTAATTGCTGGTTCTATTTTAGTAATAATCATCGTATGAGTGAAGTGATCATTAAAAATATGTAGGAAAATTATTGGTTATTATTTCATTTGATGGGAATACAATTTAAACTCAAAATATCTTCCTGAGTGTTAATAAAATTCACACTGGAGATAAAAGAAAACAAACAGTGGAGAAAAATTTGAATGTAGACATTTATGATTTCAGCTGAGCTATGAAAAATTCTTATGATATTCAAAATACGACTTTAAAATGTAAAAGCGTGCAAATAAATGAAGTAATAAGTTTCGAAAATAGAATCGCAAAACTTTGTTAATTGTGCACAATATGTGCTCCAATACAATTTTACAGTTTGGAATTATAGTTAGCTCGAATGATGAATACATTAATTAATACGCCTGTGTCAAATTGTTATCATGTTTTTTAAACCAATTTTTAGTGGTTTGAAATTCACGTGCCAAATTATTTGATTCGCACGCACAGTAATAATGTATAATTTTGCTCAGCTGATGATAATATGACCAGTCATGTGTTTGATGAAGAAATCAAGATCTCTGATTTTTCAATGCCTGTTTATAACTTTTATATGACTTTGTTTACCAAGTAGAACTGGTTTTATTGGGATATGGAACTGGATTTTATCCTATATGGAACAGTTTACAAGTTATATACTTGGAACTTAATGCGTAATTAGTTGACCATTTAGTCCAGTCTTTAAAACTTGAAGTGATTTGTTGGTTTGTTTAATTAATTTAATTTATTCAAATGATACTTACATCCAGTAAGATGATATCTTTAATTAAAGATATAGGTTCTGCTTTGTACAAAAATATTTTTTTCAGATATAAACACAGTGGCGTGTAAATTGATGTGAGATAAAAATTTTACATTGTTTTCAATCGTTGTTTAACATCGGACAAAGCATAACTTAGATACAAGACGTCCCAAAACTAGTGGTTTACATTGATCGATTCCTTTTTTTTTTGATATACAAGCCTTTAAAATGAAGAAATGACATTTTTATTTTAATCAATAATCTTTGAACTATGACTTCAATCAAGCAGTTGCTCAAATTCATTTTGGATCTTGACGATCTCAAGAAAACAAAATATATTTAAGCAAAAAAAACTCGATGGGATTTCGTCTATGGATGTCTTGGAACTTTTGACTTCTAGCTCTGTATAGTATTTTATGATCTATGGCACAAACATTGTATATTTATATATAATTCAAATAACAATAGTAATCTGAGCTTATCAATATTAATTGCTTTTTCTTGATAAAGTTTTCTTGGCCATTACAGTCACAGTTAGTAATACTTTGTGAAATGTCGTTTAATGTCACGCGATGATGTTATTTCAGTAGGTATTATTAAATATTAGTATTGATGTACTATATAGATAATAGATACTTATGGATTTATAATAAAATTATTTAATATTAATGAAAAGTATAATTATCATTTTTTTATTTGCAGGCAGAAAGTGCCCGAATTCACTGCAAAAGAAATTCGACTTGTGCTGTTTCGAGAATGCGATTTCAGGGGAAGAAAACTGTTGTTTGATTCTGATGTTACTGAGAAAATTCCTATGGAAAAAGCGCCAGCGGAGCAGAAATTTGTGGAAGTTTCTAATAACTATGGATATGTAGTTGTAAGCCAATGCACTGTTTTTAACAGCATCGATTTTTTTTCATTGTGATTTTTCGCTTTTTCAGAATTCCAAGCAAATTAGTGATTATCAGCATTTATCAGAAATGATATTCGGTTCTGTAGCAATGAGTTTCCGAGGTACTTATCTAAAGATTCACAGTCTTAATGACCCTCGTCGATTAATGTTCACACAGGTGACTAGACTTATCTAGGATCTAACATAATTAAGTTGTGTTGAATTCAACGAGTGAGTCGCAGAAACGGGAAATGTCTAAAGATGTTTTTAGGTTTTTCCAACCCCGGAGGGAAGACAAAAGAAGTCTTCAACGTCAAGCAATCAGTCCCATTTATCAACTCAAAGTAGTTTCGATCATTCCATTAAATTAGATGATTCAGGAGCGAATAGTGCCTTTTCTACTAGCGATCAACTGTCGGATAGAAGTACGGCATCGGACACTATTTTAGGTAGGCAAGTTATGAGGCGATATTTTAGGTAGGAGTTATAGGCAAGTTATGAGGTTTTGATATTCAATTACTTATTATCTAAAATATCAGAAGGTTTTGACGTAAACGAAGCATAAATTTTGAACAGTGACAATATTTATTACTAAACGTAGGTAAAACATTAAATCCAAATTAGTTACTTGCGTGCATCAATTTCTATTACACGTTTTTAAAGCTTTAATAAAAAATCGATTAATTTAATATAGTATGTATTTAAACAAATGCTTTTTTTCTAAAAAAAACAGATTAATGAAAGAAATAATGTGTCGGTTTCCGTTTTTAAGATGTTTCAAATGCATACCTCATCAGTAGGGTTTAGCCAAGGAAATAATCTGTTCGGTTATAATTTCACATGGCAATCATAAAAAAATGTTTCCGGTTGTGTAATTTCTCTTGCGCTTTTTAAATTAAATTTACGTTCAGATACAAAATTATTCTACATTTCGGTTGTTCAACCACGTTCTAATATTTTTATGTAAATATCTTGATGAGCAAATTTGTATATGAGAAACATACTGCGATGGTATTAAAGTAAAAATGTAACACTTAAATTTTGCCGTAAAGTAAGGCATCTCTTTAATTACAATATAATTTTCTTTGCATAGCCGGATTATTTCAAGACTATGCCTATTATATTTGCTTTAAAATCTCAGCTATTCTTAAAGTAAGTGAGTTTCGGAGACAGAAATATTTTATAATGAGAACGAGTCTTAAGATTATGATGAGACGCTAGACATTCATTAAGAGTATTTCTTTAATTTACTTTATATTTTACTCTACTCTCCCATTTTCCCAAAAAAAAAAATTATGTTTGACGTTTTATTAACAATTATTCGAACATTTTCCATCGGGGATTGTTCCAAAACTAAAAAATTGTATCAGCTACATATTATAATCATTGCAAGCTATAGTTTGTTATTGATAAAACTCAATTGCCAACCAGAATTTATACCTCAATGTGTATCGTCACATTATATGCAATTCAATATTCTTAAAATTGCTCATGAGAGAATGCAGATTTCAAAACATTCCTTCCAAAAGTTCTCCAAGCTGAGATTTACATGATTTTATCAAGACTTGCTTCCTTTACAAATTTTCAGTAACAAGTTTTAGTACACAACTAAAAGGAAACGATCGATCATCTACAAACGTGATAAAGTTGACAATTAATATCAATTTATTGTATCTGTTTTTTGGCAAGTAAAACTAGATTATATCACGGAATACATTTTTTAGCGGAATTAGAAAACATCAAAAAGTTTGATTTAGTGCAAGGATGTGTGCTAGTATGTACGTTAGTGTAGGAAGCTTTAAAATTAGCGATAGGTAAACAAAGAGTTTGTCATAGCAGAACACGCGATTTTATATTGAGTTACATAAAAATTAAAGTAATCATTCGTTTCTTACCGACGTTTTTCATATAATTATCAACTCACATGAAATGTTTGGATAGTTGCCAGTTGACAACTGTTGCAGAAGCACGTCCGCATTTTGGCACCCGATAATGAGGATTTATTCAATGCCATTCGAATTACTACTTAAAGATTTAACTCGCGATTTATGAATTAAACAACTCTTTCAGTTATCATTCGTTTTGGAATCATCTATGTCTATTTGTAAGGAAAATGACAATTAAAACTGTATGGTGGAAATAACACACTTATATTTTTTGAAATAAAATACTGTCATTGTCTGTTAGCATAAGATACTCAATTACAAGAATTATATTTTGATATTTTTGTTTCAGTTTGCCGTAGATTATCCAGTAATCCTTTAGATGTGCCAGGAGTGATGCCAAGTTTTTCAAGAAATAGTTTAGTAGTTGATTCTGGTTGTGCTAGTGGCTCATTTGCAAGCATAAGTACTGGCCCTCCGAATTTTCCCACATGGGAATCCGTATTCTCAAATAAAGGTAATCAACTAAACCCCATCGAACTGCAATAAGTAAAACATAAGACTTTTTTCGGAAAATTTTCTGCTGCTTGATTAGTAAAATTGATTGGATAATAACTGAAATAATTTAAAAGTACCATTTTTTTGCAAAATAAATACCTTAATGATAGGGATACTTTAGCAATTTATCTGTAAATTAAACGGTCCGTGATTCTAAAAGCAAAACATCAACATTTCTTAATCAATACGATTTGTACTCTTAGTTGCCCAACACGCATCACTTTCAGTAGTTTTTAGTGGCATATTTTATATTACATTTTCCTGTTATATTGTATTTTTTTACATAGATCTTTCTACACTTTCGTTTTCGTCGAGTGGAGTTTTCAAGAGAATACTTAGAAGCTCAACGTGTTCACTACAAACTAGTTCAATATCATTACCAAATTCCACCGAAGTGCTGCATAAATCCCATAATAAGGGAAGCAAATTGGGGTTTACTATTATTGTTGAAATTTCACCTGAAAAGGAAAGGTAAGTTGCTGTTTTAATGTTTGGGTATAATTTTTTTAAATTGCTTGACTGACCGTCAATCTTTTAGTCTGTAATTATAGTAATGTTGCAGATTATATGTGTATTTTAAATTGTTCCGTACACAATTTATGTTTTTAGTATGAAAAAAATGTTTTGATGTGGTCCTAGTGCATGCAGTTGCGAAACGCGTCAATTTTATCTGATTTTGAAATATTGTGTTTGGTTTTATTTTGAATTGCCTTTTCTCAGTTGGCATTTTTATATTTGGGATGTAATTTTTTGTGTTAATTTTAACATATCTTCGCGTTTTTCATGTTCTACTGACATAGTTTAGCATAGCGAATTTCCATTTTTTAACGAAAACACATTTCCGATGTAAGATTTTTGTTAATTTGTATCAGTCCTTCGGATATTAAAACAATAAGCTTTATTTTTTGCTACTGTTGTCCAAGTTTGAAAACTGTAATAAGAATATTTTTAATTGTGAAGATTATCATAAAAATGTAATATTCAATCGCAGTAAAACCAACAGAATGAAAACATTTGTCTGAGAATGGATTCGGATAAGTGTTGGCAAAATTATTTTGGAGCAAATGTGTGAACAATTGCATTGGTTGTTTCTAGAATATGCTGAATTTTTTTCAGGTTGCTTACCCAGTTTTTTATGGAGCACATCGCTCTTCTTGAAGCATTAATCTGGCGTACTCACCGATCAATAGCCATAGCCTACCATTGCCGAACCTCCTTCATCTCCCTAATGATGGATATTGCTTGTAATACTGCAACTTGGTTAGTGAATCTTTTAAATGCACCCAGCATAGTGACCAACTTATGGCATTGTCTTTCGTTTGGCTGTGATGATTATTCTAAAATAAGTCCATTTAAATTGGCACTAAGTGATGAAAGTGTTGATTTACTAAGGACGTCGCGGCAAACATCGGCTAGTGTAAATAGTGAAAGTGTTCTTCGAGGTTTGCAATTTTCAGAGTCTGTTAGTGGTGTGCGTGTTCCCAGTAGAAATGATGTGCCGAGTTTTAATTTTAATACTTGTTCGAAGACTGATTTAGCTGTAAATAACCATTGCAACTTAGATGCAGACGAATTAAGTGAAAAGTTCCTTAAGGAATTCTGCGAATTAGTTGAAGGAGTTGACGTCAAAGAAACTAATTTGTGAGTAATCATTTAAGATTTATTTTGAGTGTACATCTATAGGATAATTATGATTTGTTTTAGTTTTGTCAGCACTTTACTAACTGCTGTTCTTACACACCATCTGGGATGGGTTGCAACAGTTCTCCCTCAATCTAATCTGGATGCTGAGCAAATTCGCGTTTTTCAACAGCCATATAATGCGTTATGGAGCCAACTATCTGATTTATATGGGGCAATAGGCCATCCCTTGAAAACTTCCCAAACTGTGATAACTGGAAGTAACAAAAACAATATTATTTCCAAACTGCTAAACTCTCTCACTTACTTTATACGATTTGGGAACATAGAAAGAAAAAATGTTTGTAGATCGTCCGTAGAAACCGAGAATCAAGTGGCGGGTTTAATTTGCATAAAGCACGATTGCATTCCGAAAGAAAACTATAAGAAATATGAAGATCACTTAAAAGAGTTATTGATTCTGGAACCTCCAATATCAAGTTGCAGTAATATTCAACCGAGTTTCGATGTTTTCTCTAAACATGACCAGGAAAGGAAAATTAGTTTGATGCCGCCAAAGGGACTGAACAAAGTAAAATCTATGCAAGGTCTAGACGATCTGCAGCACCATTCAACAAGAGCCACTAAATCAATCGGTTTATCGCGAGTACCATCGACTTTACAACAGTGTTTGGCAAAGCCAATGGACGTTTCTTCAGAGTATATCGCAAAATTACCAAAAAGTTCTGATGGAACTCAAAGTAGCAAAGCTAAAACAAAACCAATTTCGAAATGCAGCAATTTCAACGACTTACTTAAATTGGAGGAAAAGACTGAATTAGAAATGCCCTCTACTGGGAATTCTATTGAAGGGTATGATGATCCGAATAGTGTTATATTCGTTTTGGGCGATAATGAAGAACTAGTTGGACTGAGGATGGATGAACGCTTTTCGGCCGGCTCTTCTAATCAAGCCAAAGTACCTGAACAGGTTGCATCAGGAGCGAAAAGAAAAATTTCAGTAGGCCTATCGAAACTAGTTTCAATACCCACAAATAAACCAACTGAACCATTAACAGATCCGAATTGCCAAAGTTGTTTGTTGCAAAGTTCCTCGTATGAAGCATTATACTTAGAGAACGAAGTACATTCCAAGGCTCCACTTTTGTTACACGCCAGAGCTCAGAGCGAACCACCAGAAGTTAGAAAAAGTACACCTGCAAAATACCAATACAGTAGGGTAAAGTTCAATCTTCAACAATACCCGCAAGTGGTGAGGAATTATATGAAAAGCAAAAACATAGAGCTGGAAGGGCTGAGTTTGGGCGAAAAGGTTTTTGACAAGTTTGCTACTGTTCAAAACAACATCAAGTTGGATTTATCCGGCTATGAGAGCGACGCTGAAGAAGTGGAAGCCTTGCAAACACCTTCTAATGCTTCGGAATTGGAGTTCTCTCCTGATATGGGATCTCGAGATGAACAGGAATTGACTACCGAGCCGACTATTTCGAGCAATTTAATGAAACTTGTCAACATTCCTATGCCAAAGTAAGTTTACATTATTGACGATTTTAATGAGAAATTTTGCTTAATTTTTGTTCGTTTTAGGTCACTGATTAATAGTATTCCGGATTGTTCAATACCGTACAGAACGACGGTTATTAAGGGTCTTGTAGACACATACATACCAGATATGGTTCTGCAAGGCACCACAGATCCTAAACACAAGTGGCATTCGGAACTTAGAAATAATCTTGCCATGAATTCTCAACATTCCCTACTGGACCAACCGGTTGATGAGGCTCTGGCGATTGTTGCTGATACAGACACATGGTAATGAGATATATTCGGCCAAAAAAAGGTTTAATTTAATTAAAATTGAATCACAAAAAGTCATGCCGATAGCGAATTCCTGATAATACTTTTTTACATATTTGCTTACAATTTTTGGAAAAAAACTGGGATAGCAAAAAAAAATTCATTTATTTTCAGGAGTTTTGACGAACTCGCTTTTCTGGAAATAAAAACATTTCGAGTCAAGTATTTCAGATTTTTTCCATCGTTCCTATTTTATAGTAGTAGAATAACACGTTAATATTCGATCATTTTGTACATGAAGCCAACGGGATTTGATGATGAATTCAGTGCTAATATAGAATTTCGCGTTTCAAATAATTATAGTGGATTCATAATTTCTCATCAATGAATCGTTCTTGATTTCAAAAGTAATATATTTGTGTTTTTTTACTAGGGAAGTTCAGGTGATATCCAGCCATACTTACGTTATTGATAAAGAGGTGAATGGTGTGAGGGCAGTAATGTCTCAGTTGGTTGCCAACATGCTGGAGTCTCTTCTGCAAATGTGGAAACTGCAAATTCCACCCAAACATGTAAGTAATTGTGAAATTATTCGAAAATTTCACACAGTAGAGAAAAATATCAAAAACGAGTATCATATATTTTGTTTTGATACATCAAATATCAACAATTATTGAAAAGGGCGGTTGAGTTGATTTCCAACCCCGAATAAATTTGGTCTTAAAATCTATTTGCTTCAAAATCTGGGATAGAAATAAAAACATCGAATGGAAATTCTCAGGCAACTTTAAATGCTTAATACCTTTGGTCTTGACGTTCTGCACAACCGATAAAAGTGCTTCTTATTTTTTTTTTATATATAACTCTCGTCTCGATTAAGGCTGCAACTTTTTCGAATTGTGATAAAAGTTAAAATTAAAAAGCAAAATTGTCAAAAATGTAAAATCAAAGACGCCATTAACAAAAAGTCACCATATTTAGAAATGCTGTTAAAATCTGGCACAAGTAGGTGAAAGTTTAATACATTTTGATCCCGAAACGTTCCTGAACTGTACACAAAACAACACGAAACGATGCAGGCCTAGACTGAGAAAACTGCATCTATGATAGCTTTTAAGCCGGGAACATTGGAGATATACACATGTGTTCCTTTGCGAAACACTGTAGTAGTCATTTAGTCTATCTAATAAGTTATTTTAAAGTTAAATTATTGCTTACAAAACTACGTATTGGGTAAAAGTAACCGAAATTGTCGCTTGTTGCAGAAGTAAAATATTTTATAATTGTGTTACTTTTGTTTATTTTGAATCTATAATCGCTCGTTTTGAGTTCTTTTTTTTACGCAATCCTCCTTGCAGTGTATACAGCATATTGAACAAAGCCTTCAACAACTGTGCCTTCGATCTAAAGCTCTAGCGCAGATGTTGATAGCTAGTGAATTCTGTAACATAGAGCTGTTGGCTTCTACTCTTCAGATTGAGGTTAACGACGTTCCATTAATGATGGCAGTGGCTTCAACATATTCGCCAGAAGTTACGCACAAATACGGGCTTAGTTTTCAGTAAAGTACAAAACTATTAATTTATGGTAATATCATCTTCACTCTTCAGTTTTTCATTAGATGTTTCACGTGTTTTCCGTTTCATTTGTAATGTATTGCAAGATAACAGTTTAATATGGGATCTTTTATTGCTGGCTTTTTAGACGATTGTGTGAAAGCCTGTATTCGGTGAATGTCGCTTACACCGCCTAAATCATCTATATTTTTCATCAAATGGCATTCGTACCTAGGCTAATTAAGATAAGTTTCTTGCTATAAAGCTTATATAAAGGAACAAAAAATAATTGTTACTTTTTAATGGCATTCTTTAGTTAAGCTTGTGACTAAAGAGAAAACCGGTTTTGAGCGATATTGGCCATAGTGATAATTTCTTAGATTTTTTACTTTTTTTTATTAGTATGTTATGTTGATTTTTGTATATTACAGTTAATTATTAACTTGTTGTGAAATATATTGGTATATTATGGTTATTGCTATTTAAGTTATATTTAAGTATCTTGTTTTTATTTTTTTTATGAAGTGATAAAGTATTTTTTTGTTTTTTTTTTCTGTTGTTTTATTTGGTTTAGTTGACATCGAATATCTTATGAATTTTCCGTTAATCAGAGAATAAATGAGTCTTTGTTGTCTGTTTTGGTGTTTTATTTTCATTTAGATATGCTGGGTGCGATGTAACTACACTGACCACTGCTATACAATTTTTCTTAAAATTGATACATTCTTGAAGCTATTTAAGTGAAAAAACCAATTAATTATAAACATTTGTCTTTTACAACTTAAAATTGCAGATTCTGTGAAAGATAATGGTTTTCTTCATCGTTTTTTGCGCTTTTATTGTGACCAGGAGTGAGATATTCAAAACGTCTCAATTTTTCAAAATGTCTCAGCAACTTATAGTTTTTTAGGTTTCTTTCATAGTTAAAGAGTTTTCTACTATATGTAAGTGTAATGTTTCCTTACTTTAATGGTTTCAAAGCTTTTCTAGGTAGGAAAGAATTACATAACCAGTACTGTAATATATTATGAAAGTGCAACACCTGCGAATATATCCGATGACTATTTTAAGCTGCTTGTTTATCCTTTACATTTGTGTGTAGACTTTTACATTTTTCACGACCGGAAAGATAAATGAGGCACAACAGCACGTAACTTAAGCGTTTACTCGAACGGAGAGCACAAAGATGAAAGTTTGAAACATATTTTAAAACATTTCTTGAGCAACGTAGACCATGGAATTTAAAAATTTACAGTTTTTTTAAATAGAGAATTAAGTAGATATTGATTGAATTGAAGTGAAATGCAAATAAGAATTCATATAGAAATATAAATAACGAAACTGAAAATTATAAAACCTAAGCAATATGGATAGATCGATAAGTAGAGCAAATAATACATAAAATCTAACTATACCGACATACAATATAAACAAAAATAGAAGGAMCTTAATCTAAACTACAATTAAAACTAATTATTATTAAAATTTTAGAAAATTAGAATTAAAATTTTGAAGAGCRTTGGTTGGCTATTTAGTCACAAATAATGTATAAAAGTACGTAYTACTGCAGTTYGTRATTTTGAGGCAAATGTARTMAAAATATTATTTCAATGAAAATTATTGGGGTGTTAAACATATTTAAGAAATARSTTAAATCACATTATTTTAACTTAGTTTTTAATTCATAAAATTGATTACATATTATTATCATAATATTAACGATCTCAATTAGTTAARTTTTATTTATTTAWTTTTTTAATACAACATAGGTTTGAMCTTTTTCATATTTTTTGACATTTTGGTGATTTTCGAATGAAMGAARTATAAGGCATAATGCCAATTTTAGGCTCTAAACATTTTTTATTCAAAACGGCAATATRAGTTTTAAATGTKTTATACGCTTATTAATTTATTGGTTSGATTTATCTCKTTTATGAAGCTGAAAGAAAGTACTTGACWTTAGCGCAATATACTAGAAATTYCAACTTTAATTCAAATATCTAGCATGTTTTAAGAGATGATATTTAGAAAAAATCTGTAACAATTTTAATATTCATCATATTGAGTATTYGCTCTATCGTCCGAGAAATAAAGCTAAWTTCCAATATTTCCCAAAGTTCAATTGGTCAATCAAACGCCTACGCCATCYTRTATGTARCAATTTATGCAAAATACWGTTTTTCTTATATTAGAAGATATATTACTTTATATTATTAGAAGATATTTACAAATCCTAATAATGAGATTAGAATGATCTAAAGCGGTTTATTTTGCATAACTTTGGGTTGCAAATGTAAATTAGTTTCAAATTGTTTCAGTTTTATTATAGTAACAATTGCAAATTAWAAWTTTTTTGTATGGTATTGACTGACCTTTTCCATATCCAGAAATTAAAACCATCAATAAAAAGTAACTAATTTCGAAATATGTAGGTGTCGTCCTATGCTGAAGAATTGATTTTCAGCCATATTAAACCCTTTGAAGGCTCAAACATTCTTGAATCTAGTATTGATAGCAAAAGAGCGAGATTCTGATATTTGTTATGGTGAATATGACTCGGAAGTGCTAATAAATAATAATTCATTTTCTCAAAAGTGCGATTCGCATTCAAACACGTTCTAATGAATATGTGATGGTCGGCGTTTTAGCAGGTGTTTTCACTATTTTTGGGAATATGTTGTTTATAAAGGAAATACGGGATATTATTCAGGTCGGAAGCAAATGGACAATGGTAAGATTATTCGTATAAGAATTATTAAGCGAAGGCAACATTTACTAAGAATATTTTGAAGCAAAGTAAAATAGACATTTAAAGGTATATATTATAGGTATAAAACCCTAGAACAAAAAAATTATAAGCCGTATAAATATGTCACGACCTACCTTTCATAGAATCTACTACGAATTTATAAACTTTCAACCAGAAAAAAATTGGACTTCGGTTGGATTTGAGTTAATGAAATATTTTCCTTTATGTCTTGATGTCTTTCCTACACCCTGTGTTTAAATTCGATTCCGTTGTTTTCTGCTATTTTTTTACAGGCGGGCTAGCATTTGATGAACACTTCAATTATAATCTCCAGGGTTTGCAATCTTCTAAAAAGTCTTTACTTGGATTTGAGTGAAATTTTGACTATTTAAATTCGGCTCCGTTGTTTTCAGCGAACAGTTGAGTGAAAAGAGCTTCCTGAGAAGTTTTTTTTTAAGGCGGGCTGGCATTTGATAAACAGTGCAATGGTAAACTTCAGGGTTTAGAATCTCCGAAAAAATCAGCTTTTGCTTAGGTTTGAGTGAAATATTGTCCATTTGAAGGTCGATGTCTTGGTCACACCTAGTAGAAGCCCCGTGTTTAAATTAAAGGCGGGCCGGCATTTGAAATTTTATAGAAATGGTTAATAATCGTTACACGAAATAATGTAATCGTTTAAACCGCTATACCAACATAATGTGACAAACAAGTTCCACATATCTTTTGGCACTTTGATCTGGATTCAAGGGTATTATTGCTTTTCAAGGCTACAAAAAGTGCAATTTACAACAAAATTAACATTCAATTCAACCCAGAGTCCACAATCCTCCGTCCAACAAATATAACACGCAACAATATCAAAAAAGAGAAGTCAAGAATATGGGACTAAAAGCTCTAGGGAAAGGCAACCAGGTGCAAAGTAATGCCAAACTTAGCGAAAATTATTTTCGCAAATTCCAGTGATATCCCATTTTATGTGGTTGAGTTCTTCATGTTCTTATGTTTTTAGTAGAATATGTAGAGGTTTAATGAGTTTTAATGGTCTTTTCTTTCGTGGTCCCTTTCTCAAACTGTTGCTCCCTTCAGATTAAGTGTGAGATTTGGAGTCTCGGACTCCAAGGTTCGACATTTCATTTTCTGAGATGTTCTGGCACTTAAGAGGTCACGCTTGGATCAGCCGCTCCTACCATGGAGAAATGATGCTGTTTTCTGCCGTCCAATCTGGGTCAAACGCTGCATGGAAGTCTTCTTAGCTTCGCCTTAATCGCATCGAGAGCTTACCGGCGTACTAATAGCTACCATAGAGAAAGTAAAATATATATTTTTTTATTTTACTTACTCTATGGTAGGTAGCTACGCTACCGCCGACATCGCTCCCCGGATCTAAGGTTACTAGGCCCTCTCACTAACGACAAAGTAATGACTCCCCCAGAGAGGGAAAAAGTTGATCCTGCAACATAAATGGATCAAAGCTGTAAGAAAAAGTGGTTATTAGAAAATAAAAGCATTTTAAAGAGTTACCTGTTTTACCTGCAAAAAATATATTTTAGCAAAATAAGTATCTCAATGACATAATAAAATATTAATAGCTGCGAAAAAATGTTTAAAAAATCAACAAGTACATAGAAAACAAAAAGTAAGTGGGCTAATTCATTTAAAGAAAACCGCAGTATAAAATCCGCAAAATGCCATATAAAATCAAAGTAGGTATTAAAGAAAAACTACAACCCTGGTTGCCATCTACTTCTACAAAATAAAACGCTGCCCGAATCTAGATCGCCGAAATTTCTTGAAACTTAGATTTTTCCTCAAAAATACTTAAAAAATGCTTAAATTTAGAAGAACAGCGCAAGTTCGGTTATACGCTTGATCTGGACCGCTTACAGCCTAAAGGGTGCTGGAGTGGTTTTTCAAAAAAAACTGAGATAGTCGCACGGATCTACGCAGCTGAAAATCCCTTGCATGAATGTTTGAATGTAAAAAATCACTATCTTAGTGTGTGAAATTCGGAAAATTGCGCGAAATTTAAATTAGGACGCCAGGACCACTGGCAGCCTCATAAGGCGCTACTCGCTAGACCATCACAAGGTAATAAAAAATATATTCACCTATCTTGAGGCACTTTAGTCTGGATTCTGTGGTATTATTAAATTTCGAAACAGCAAAAATTGAAATTTACCTCAAAAATACTAATAATTGATATCTTTGCTCTGAAGACAATTGAAGATGTGTTCGCAGCAGAACACCCCAAACTACTGAAAAACTGAGCAAACAAAGTTGAACATTGCATATGAGCAGTCCCTACTTAGAGTTCATAAACCGTTCAATTTAGAGTGTAATTCCCAGCAGAAAAATGTTAATAATTGAAGGTGTGTTTGCAGCAGAACACCCCTGTGATACATAATAAAGCAGTCTACTGTGGAAAATTTGACTAGTTTATATTGAGCAAAAAAGACTTAAAACTCGAACTGTCCATATTGATAATATGTAACGGGTTATCCAATTCGAGGTTGGGAAAGTAAAACCTTGCTATTGATATCTATGGATATCTGTTAAAAGTAAATGTGATCCAAAACGTTTTTGTTTTAGTTGAAGGTTTGCCATTTTGGAATATGGATCGTTTAACTGTCGAACAACGCGTAAAAATTATTAAATGTTACTATAAAAATGGTGACTCTGCTGTATCAACGTTTAGGGCTTTACGAGCAGATTAGGGTCGACATAATCGACCCACAGAGCAAACAATTTCGAACACAGTGGAAAAATTAGAAGAGACTGGATCGGTTACTGATAATGTAAGGCCTGTGCATCATCGCAACACTCGTTCAGCTGAAAATATCGCTGTTGGTGCTGAAAGTGTGGAGGAAGACCCGAATTCGCCGATTTC